AGATGCCATCGTTATTTGATACTGATTTTTATTGCTAATTTTGTTTATTTAGAGGGGGGCTGGGGAATAATATCGTCATTGTCTTAGAGAGGTGGTAGAAGTCCCAGAACGAAGCCACTTAATGTTAAGGAAAGGAATAAAATATTTTTACTTGATTTATTTAATGGAATGGAAATTGTTTTATTTGATCATAGAATTTCAGCAGAAATAAAAATTAATATTTTTTTAAAAATATTTGAAAATGAAACTTCAAAAAATTTAATTATTAATAATTATTTTAAAACAACATATGGTTTGTTTTTAATCAAAAAAATAACTGCTATTCGTCAATTTTTTTACTATATTATCGATTAAGCGTAAGAAAACCTCGATTAAGGTTAGGAGGGGAGGGGTTAGGAGAGAGTGGGGGATATAAAACTTATATATTAGTTTTCTCTTAAGCTCATAGAAAAATGTTAAGCATTGGCATTCATCATTTTGAAAATTTTAAAAATTTATTTTAATAAATATTTGTGTAGATTTTTATTATAATCAAGAATATGTGAATGTATAATCGGGAGTTAATTAACCATTTTTTAAGACCGTATTGTTAAACTAAAACCGAATTCGGGCCTTTATAAAAAATATTTTCTCTAATCGTAAACTAGCGCAAACCACGAACATACCTTGAAATATTTATTTATATGCAATTATCAAAATACGTAAATATATTAACGAAATATGTTGCATCGGTCCTCCTTTTTCTTCTTCTAAAATAATCGTTGGATTGTTTTGGGTGTTAGTAAGACTGGGAACCAATATTAAAAATCCAAGTTTAATGAGAAAATGTTGGTATTTAAACAATATTTTCTATTCCTTGTTTTGTTATTGGATTAAAATAAAAAAAAATCGTGATTTTAAAAAGCCTTAATTATATTCAGAGTTGGGCAGTACCGCGAATATTTGTATCTAAGATACAAGATCCTTTTGTATCTTGTACTCAGTGTATCTAAGATCCTTTATTTTGAAAAGAATCTTGAATCTTTTTCATTTTCTTTAAAAAGATACAGATACAGATTCTTTTTAATATTCATGTTTAAAACATTTACATATCACACAATGTAACTTTATTTTCTTCGTGAAATCTTGTATTATTTTCTTTATTTTTTCCTGCTATATTTTAAATATAGTGATAAACAAAATTAGTTGGAAATTTTACAGATCACAAAGATAGATAGATTAAAAATAACAACACCAAAACTAAATAAGTAAAGGTTATATTTTACATGTAATATTTTTTAATTTGTAGAATGTTTAACATTTATAGTAGTGAAGATCAAATAGGTTCTCCTGAATCAAGTCCGAATCTTAAAATTCTAGATGGAAAATTTTATAAAGTAATTCATGTGAAAAAGACCAAGGTACAAGCCGAATGTCAAAATTGCACAAGTAAAAAAGTTAAAAGATTGAACAAACTCCTCTAACTTTGTAAACTATTAAAGTATAATATATACATTTTTATTTTCTGAAAAATTTTTAAAATATACCCGGGCCGGGCCTGAAAAATTTTTTATAAAAAAATCCGGGCCGAGCCGGACCTGAAAATTTTTTTAAAAAAATACCCGGGCAGTGCCGGGCGGTATTTTTTTAAAATATACAACATGAATTATTATATTCGTCAATTAGATATGGTTATAATGATTATATATAGTTATGATTAATATAATGTTTGGTGAAAGTTAACACTAGCTAACACTCATAGTATCTATTACATAATAAAATTATAGTTTTCCTGCCATGGAATAAATACGCAAAGGATTAAATACATTATTATATAATATATATGTTATATTTTTATTAAAAATATCATTTTATTTTTTTTATAAATACATAGTATTTGTAATATACTAAATATCTGTTTAGAATAAAAAAAAAATATATTTAGTGTTGTTAAAAGCTTGTTTTGAGCCGATTTTTTAAAAACGGCTAACTAAGTTTTTATCCAGAAAAATATTATGCAAGCCTGAAAATTTTGCTCATAGAAGGAGAAAAGGTCTAGACATATAGTATCGAAATTTCGAGGCTTAGTCAATATTTTTCTGGCGAAAATATTGAGTTAGCCGTTTTTAAAAATCGCCAAAACGAGCCGTTTAACAACATTAGCTAATATACTTGCTTATTAAATGATAATACTTGCCGAAAAATATGATAATTTACGAAATAATGTATTTTTTGAATATACCAGGTCGAATATAATTTTTAAAAATTCCGAGCCGGGCCTAAAAATTTTTTTTTTAAATCTAGACCTGGCCGGGCCCTAAAAAATTTTTTTTTAGATATTTGGGTCGGGCCGGGCCTAAAATTTTTAAACCCGGACCGGGTCAGGCCGTAAAAATAATTTTGGGAAAAAAATCCGGGCCGGGCCAAAAATTTTTTAATCTGGGCCGGGCCGTACAAATGGTACCTCTGCAGGTCTCTGATAATTATTAACATAATAATACCTATACTTAAGTCCCTCTTAGATATTTGTTATTAAAAAATTTTATAGAAGATAGTTGATTATCAATTAGGGGTGTATTGATACCACTTTTTAGAGGTCGATCCGATCCGATATTCCCTATATTTAATTGATATCGGCCGATTACCGATCCGATATCATATCTAATTTTGTATTCTGTAAAGATAACAATGGTTTTAATTTTTAATACACTTTTTATTAGTATAACATCTATAATTTAACTATACCATAAATTATGTCATTTAAATATATTATAATGATCAGTTATAGTTTATATTCAATTCAATTGCAATTCTAAAAGTATAAAAAATATTTTTATTGTTAAATCACTTTTATATAATAAGTAATAACATTAATCTATATACATATTAAGTAATAAACAATTATATTATGAAATTTGATATCAATATTTAAAATAATATTTAACATTAATATAGCGAAGATTTCTTTTTAGAAATACCAATATTTCCAATTTATCAGAGGTCAGCTTGCGGCGATGGTAACTGTCAATATCACCAGCTTCACTAAAAACAGATTCTGAAGTGATTATTGCACACTTTTATAAACAGAATGCGCAAAAAAATAACAATATGGTAGAATGTTTATTAATTAATTATTATTATTAAAATAATATACATAAAAATGGATTTCGATTTTATTTATAAAAATAAATGATTTTAGTATAACTATTTTTTTTAAATTTTATAACATTTTATTTTTGTTAAAGAAGCCATTTTTATATCGGATCAAATTTTATAATATTGACCTATAACCGATATTTTAAAATGAGTGAAATATCATCCCGATCCGATCCGATAAAAAATATCGGCACATCCCTAATATATTTTATATTTAATTATTTTAGCAAGTCCTTATTAAAGGAAATATTTATGCTACAATTGATTATATAATTTTAAAAGGCTCTTAATAAAATAATTAGAATAAGATAGAATTTAACTTTATTAGTTACTTTTATTTATTTATGATATAAGTAAAATTGATTTATTTACAAAATTTAATCAATTTAAAATGCGTTAAAGAAAATTGTTATGTATTTAATAATTAAATAATATAATGTTGTACATTATTTTCATATTTTTTATATATAATTTATGATTTTGCAAGAAATATATAAAAAAAATTTGAAAAAAGATTTAAATGATATTTATATACTATATATGATATTACAAATGCAAGAAATAAATAAGTCACATTAGAAAATAAAACTAATTTAAAAAATACATAAATATCATAAACAAGTAATGATAAATATTTATTAAAGATAATGAATAAAATAAAACTAGTAAATTTTTTTTTAGAGATGCCATTTAGCCATATATTCCGAATATAAGCTATATTTAAATCAACACAGAAAATAACCTGCAAATTCTAATAAATCATTTGATTTAATTTTTTTTCTTATTTGTACATTTTTAATTACCATTAAATATACTAAAGCTATTAATGGGTAAAAATTAATATTAAAATCCCTGGTTATTATAATTAATTCATCAATAATATTTTATTAATTATTGCAAATATTCATTCTTATATGTGTATGCTATGTTCTTTACAAATAAATAATAAAAACTGTATTTTATAAACTATTCTTATTTAATTGGTAATGATAATTTAAAAGTATCTTGTATTTAAGTTACTCTAATTTAGTAAAAGATACAAGAATCTTTTATCTTGTATCTTTTTGATATTTTGCAAAAGATATTAGTATCTGTATCTAAGATTCATTTTTTTATAAAGATTCTGTATCTGTATCTAGATTCTTTTTCCGGAGGACCTGGAGGACCTGCCCAACTATGATTATATTTATGTATGAACATGAAAATAAAACCATGAGCATTGTTGTTTTAATAAAAACGGATGAGAATCACCCTGATATTTTATAGAACCAGAACCCTGAACCGCGAATCCTTTTTTAAATGTAGAGTTCAAGTTCAAGAATTTTCAAATTTTTCATTTATTTATTTATTTTTTTTTTATTAAAATTTCTTTATTTCATTTAATTTTTTTAAATTACAAAAAATTTGAACAGAATTAAAAAAATAATATTTAAAATATTTATAAAAAACATATTAAATTTTTAAAACCTCATTGTTCTTTAGTATTTTTGATATTAAAAATTTTTTTGTGAAATCGTTATTTATATTAGTGTATCCATTTTATGTAAACTAAAATTTTTCTGAACACCGAACACTTTTTTAGGAGGGTTCACAGCCCTGGATTATACTGAATCGGAAACTTTTTTTATACACGAGGATTTAAAATCCTGATAAAATGATAAAAGGTGAATATAAAATTTTTTTATTTATTCATAATTAATTTTTTTATCAACAACCCGATATCAAACCAATGAAATGGAAACATTGATTTTGAAACTTTTTATTTAACACAAAAATATAGCAAAATGAAAAACTATAAAAAATAGGAATATAATATAAGGAAAAATAATTTTACTTGTTTAAGATCCTGTAAGCAATACATCATTTTAGATATAGAGAAGCTTGGATAGTATATTCATCGAGTAAACAACGTTAACAAACTTGAAAACGCTATTCTAATTTAAAAAATGATAATTTGCGTTTTTCATTTATTGATATATAATATAAGTATTTAAGATTTCTCCTATATTTTAAAAAATTGGGGAATGAAATCTGTGAAATCGATCATCTTAATAAGCCCAGAACCGATACCCGCTGAGTAGTGGAAGGGAAATCAAGCTTAAGTTCACATAGCTAGGCATAGGCATTACTTATTTATTTGTAAAAGGCTTCTTGGCAGAAAAGCATATGTCATTAAATGGTGAAAAAAATGATAAAGAAATATTATTTTTAAAAAGATTCTTATTGAAACTTATAATATACTAGTTATATGTATTACAATAAACTCTTATTATTAACAAAGGTGTAATATTGACCCTGAGTTTATTTATATTAATCAATTCGATATATGTTTTTACCTTATTTTATGATATTGAAATTCCTATCTTTATTACAGTCAAAACCATTTAATTGCAAGAGCTGGAACAAAATATTTAAAAATTTCGCAATTACTCGACTTTTCGCTATAAAGATCAAAAATCAATAATTTATTTATTAAAAATCATTTCGTGTTTTTTATAAAAATATTTATCATCGATATATATTTTAAGTATAAAACATCAAACTATAATTATTTTATTATACTGGTTGTTATATAGCAGGGATGTGAACCCTTCGACAAAAAAAAAGGGTCCGGGTTCGGGTCCGGTAATAAATTTAAAAAGGACCCGGGTCCAGGGTTCGGGTCCGGGTTCAGAGGGAACATAAAAAAAATGACTCAAAATAAGACTTTTTTTCATCCATTTTTTATTATACTTCAATATATACACATTTATAATTCGAAATGAGATAATTTATATTATAAATATTATATTCAACCGCACAATCATGATATCTTCTAAAAATATCATCCTTCAGATTTCCACGTAAATTAGACAAAATATATTTCAACGATGTAAATCCACGTTCTACGCTTATAATACATAAATTATTGTACTTATGTCGCCGGTACAGCCATGACGATTCTAGACAAGGTATATAATTCTGGATATATTGAAGAATTTTCCTTCCAGAATTTTAAAATGTTTGCATCTCTATTTATTCTCTTAACTTCCGAGAACGTTTCTATTAAAGATACAATAGATATTTTTTGCTCCTTTCTATCAGAAGATAAATTAATTTTTTTTTCTCTATTTAATAGTAAAATTTCCAGATCATCAATATAGTTATCATTATTATTGTTATCGCTACAACCAGTTGATATTGTTGTAGCCTCCAATATATTGTAAATAATAGAGTTTTAAAAAAAATTTTAAGTTAAAAATTTTTACCACCCTGAACCCTTGGACCCTCCACTTTTTAAAAGGGTCCAGGTCCAGGTTCAGGCAAAATACGAGGGTCCAGGAGGGTTCAGGGTCCGGGTCCGGGTTCACATCCCTGTTATATAGCGCAAATATTTATATATCGCATTCATTTAATTAACACAATTGATATTAACTTCACTTAATAGTTTTATTTAAATTATTTAATAGATTTTTTTTATATATAAAGAATAAATTTATTGTATTTTTAGTAAAATATTTTTAAAATATATTTATTAAATAAAAGTTTTAAAATTACTTTCTTAATTTTGTTCCAGCGGAATTTATAAATTTATAAATTTAAAATCTTTTAAATTTATTATTTTTTTCTCTGCAATAAATAATTTAGATTATGACACTGGAATCTTACCAAATAATGATCAAATGGATTAATCAACAATGACAGGAGAATTGTTAAAATAGATATCAAACTAAACCAACTAATTAAAATTGGGCTATGATGACTTACAAAATATTCTAAATCCACAGACAATATGATTTTAGCTACTGGAACATAGACAACTAGATAAAAAAAAAGTTCTGGAATGTTATGCTTATTTCATTTTAAAACACGTAAGAAATGATTAATTTGAAAAAGTGAAAAATATTTAAAATTTTTAATTAAAAATCTCTAAAATATTTATAAAATAAAAATATTGTAAAAAATAAACACATAAATATTATGATATTATCTTTTCCGGAGTATAGCGGCGACATGCAATCTTATATTGCTAAGGCTGATAATTTTTTTAAAGATAGTAAGCTCAACAGTAGATGTGAGGCTATGCTATTAACTATTAATTTACCTGATAACATTTTTAACTTAGTTAGGGCCAAATCGACAAATGAGGAGTTTGAATCTCCAGATGCTTTGCTGAAAAGGCTAAAATTATTTTATAAAAGTAATGATATAAATCTTATAAATAAAAATATTGATAAACATATAATTAATACTTATAAATTAAAGGAAATTTTTGTTGACATAATATCATTTGAAATTATTTTAGTATCTAAAGATAAAAATGATGAAAATATAAATATACCCATAAGATCACATGGTGAAATTTTATAAGAGTATTATGACTATAAAAATAATGATATAAATCTTAGTATTAAAAAAATTAGTGAAAATAAAATAGATGAAATTCCCATACACAAAATTTTAAAAAAAATAGAATCCAAATCATTAAAGCTTGACACTTACAAATATAAAAAAATCAAGAGAATAGACAATACAAAACATTTACCTTTAATAATTAATGATAAAGTGGACGAATTTTCCATATTTAAAATTTTAAAAACAATGAAATCTAAATTATGTTTAAAGGACAAAACATATGTAAGTAACAGAGTTGTTAAAAGATACTTTTTAAATGGATCTAGATACATATACAGATACATCGTCTAAAAATTTATCTAGATACAGATACAGCTTCTAAAAAGTCACCTTGATACAGATACAATTTAAAATTTATCTATGTACAGTTACATTTTTTATTATACTCTTAGATAAGGTTTGAATAAACTTAAATTAGGATTCTATTGTGAAAATTCATGAAATGATCTAAAATATTTATTGACTCGATATCACATTTATCAAAATATAACTAAAATAATGATTTTTAGATATTAATATAATATATGATTAATATAAATAATTATTATATATCATTAATAAAATAATATAATATATGATTAAATGATTATAAATAATTATTAGATTTCAGTAACAACCACTGTCTCTCGGCAAATTATTTTTTTTTGTGGAGCTAATGTCTTGATCATTTTTATAAATGAAGGATTTTCAACAATTGAAAATGGCTGAATGCTATCTATAATAAAATCAGTTATTAAATCATCAAAAGTGGTTTGGGTTAAAGTCTGAGGTCTCTTGAAAAAAAAATCAATGGACGATGAGCCTAGTCCAATATTTTTTTTAATAGATTTTTTCTCCTTCCCCTTTTTTATTTGGATTAAGAGTGTTTGATGTTTTCTCTTAAAATTAAAATTGTAAACATTTATTAAGTATCTATACCATTAAATGTTTTACAATGTTGCAAGTTGAGGTAATGCTAACTAAAATTTTCATATTTTTTGGTAGACATGACAAACATTTTACTAACAGATTTGTTTTCTTTATTTTGAGATATTATTTTAAAATATGGTCTATAAATTGGCAATGGAAGAATGTCGTCATTTTCGTCATCAATATTAATCTTAAAAATTAATATAATAAAATACCAATTCCATTGCAATTAAAAATGGCAAATTCCTTGAGATGGATTATAATATCAGAATTTGCTTGTTATTAATAACTCGGACATAATATTTAATTAATATTTATATATTCTTTTTTATATATAAGTTTTAATATTTTACATATATATATGTTAGCGGCAATGTGAGGTAGTGGTAGGCAATGTAAATGTGAGATTTCGGCAATGTGTTATTTTTGTAATATTATATTATTAATAATTTTGTTTTTATTATTAATAATTTTTTTAAGATTAAAATTTTATTTGATAATTTATAGTATTTTTTTAGATATAATAATATGTTTTTTAAATATATTATTTGATTGATATTTTTTTTAAATATATTGAAATATATTATAATATATTTTAATTTGTTATATTAATTTTTTATATATTTTTTGATTGATATTTTTTATTATAATGGTTTTTTATGTTTTTATTATAATGGTTTTTTATGTATTTATTTTTCAGGTAAATTTTTTCTTGATATATTTTTTGACTAAATATTTTTTTTATTTTTTGTGTTATATTATTTTTTTAAATATATTTTTTGATTGATATTTTTTTTAAAATAATTTTTAGATAATATATTTTAATTTGTTATATTATTTTTTTATATATTTTTTGATTGATATTTTTTAATATAATGGTTTTTTATGTATTTATTTTTCACGTAAATTTTTTCTTGATTGAAGATGTACTATGGAAAAGTGACAATTGTCATAATCGTTATTTTTGAACATTTTTTAGTTTTTTTAAAGTAAATAGGTAAAAATATGTTTAGTAAACGTGTTAAATTAATATTTCAGTGAAGATGTACTATGGAAAAGTGACAATTGTCATAATCGTTATTTTTGAACATTTTTTAGTTTTTTTAAAGTAAATAGGTAAAAATATGTTTTGTAAAAATATTAAATTAATATTTCAGTGAAGATGTACTATGGAAAAGTGACAATTGTCATAATCGTTATTTTTGAACATTTTTTAGTTTTTTTAAAGTAAATAGGTAAAAATATGTTTAGTAAACGTGTTAAATTAATATTTCAGTTAAGATGTATTATGGAAAAGTGTCAATTGTCATAATCGTTATTTTTGAACATTTTTTAGTTTTTTTTAAGTAAATAGGTAAAAATATGTTTTGTAAACATGTTAAATTAATATTTCAGTGAAGATGTACTATGGGAAAGTGACAATTGTCATAATCGTTATTTTTGAACTTTTTTGATTTTTTTTAAAGTAAATAGTTAAAATTATGTTTTGTAAACATGTTAAATTAATATTTCAGTGAAGATGTACTATGGAAAAGTGACAATTGTCATAATCGTTATTTTTGAACATTTTTTAGTTTTTTTAAAGTAAATAGGTAAAAATATGTTTAGTAAACGTGTTAAATTAATATTTCAGTGTAGATGTACTATGGAAAAGTGACAATTGTCATAATCGTTATTTTTGAACATTTTTTAGTTTTTTTAAAGTAAATTTTTTGTATGACAATGTGAATTGCAGGACACATTAGATGCCTTGCATTTGCATCTATTGGTCCTACAATTTTGTTTAAAATGGCAACGTTTAAAACCTTGCCCAGAGCCTATTGAAGACATGCCAACCATTGTTCTAAAGGTATGACAACTTGGTGGCACATCTTCAACGTTAATAAAGTTTTTTTTGCTAGGTCAAATTGTGACCTAGCATAATGACCAGATAAATGGCCACGACCTGTTCCTAATTTGTAAAATCCATCTGTGGATTTATCTGTAATTACCCCCAATAGCATTTTATGATCCAGTCTCCCCTGATCGACTGGTGGAATTGGCATTAATACGGAATCACCAATTTCTCCAGGTTTTAGTTTTTTGTCGCTACCTCTTTTCATCTTTGTAGCTTGTACTAATAAACCCTCTTTCGAAATTTTCCTAATTTTCTTGATCGCATTAATATGTTTGCGAATGGTATCGTCTTCGGTAGCTATAAAATATTTGAATAGTTTTACAAGATAAAAGCATCACTTTATACTAGGTATAAAAATATGATTATACAAAAATTAGACGAAAATTGAATCGTAATGTAGGATTTAAAAGAAATATATTTTTTTCAAAGAGAAAAATTTTAAATAATTTCTAATAACTTAAAATAATTTGTCATTAAGATTTATATTATAATTTTAAAAAATATTTCTAATAAAAATATATACCTAGATCAGGAGAGGGGCAATATTTTTGGACAGACTTGGGATACTTTTCACATTCCGCTGTAAAATATTATATAATATTCTATACGTATCATTATTAACAAATAAAAATGCATTTCAATTTATTATGGCCTTACAAAACTAATGGTTTAGAAAGCCCCTTGAAGTGGTTTGCCTCACCCCGCTATTGGGGCTTGTTGGAAAATTTTTACTTTTACAAAAAATAAAATTAAAAAAAAAAGATTATATTCTTAAATTTTTTTATAAGGCACCTTTATAGAGTATAGTTTTAGGTATCTAATCATATATATTTTTTATATTATCTAAAAAAACCAGGAGCTAGCCAATTTTGTAAAAATCGGTTCGACTAACCCCAGTCTCCCCTAACTGTAAAATATTATATGTTAACTAATGCATCTTAAAAATATATACCAGGATCCGGTGATAAGTAATCTTCTCGGATAGAATTGCTATAGTTTTCAAAATCAACTACAAAATATTATATGTTAACTTAAAAATATATACCAGGATCCAATGATATACAATCTTCTCGGATAGATGTGTTACAGTTTTCAAAATCATCTACAAAATATTATAAACTAATGGATCTTATAAATATATACCAGGATCCGGTGTTATACAATCTTCTCGGATAGAATTGCTATTGTTTTCAAAATCAACTACAAAATATTATATGTTAACTAATGGATCTTAAAAATATATACCAGGATCCGGTGTCATACAATCTTCTCGGCAAGAATTGCTATTGTTTTCAAAATCAACTACAAAATATTATATGTTAACTAATGCATCTTAAAAATATATACCAGGATCCGGTGATATACAATCTTCTCGGATAGAATTGCTATTGTTTTCAAATTCATCTACAAAATATTATATTTTAATTAAATAAAAATATATTACCAGAATCTTCCGAATCTGTATAATTTACCAGATTATGGAAATAGCTTTTATCGTCATCCAAATAAGCTATAGTATATTATAACGAATTCATTGTATAATAATAAAAGAATATACCAGTATCAAAAATATAATGATTATTTTTTATTGAGAAAAATTAAATATATAGATGGCAAAATTTCTGCTTTAAAGTTTTATAAAAATTTTAATAAATATAAATAAATGTTTTAGGAAACAAATGTTTTTTCCTTTTCTATTTTATTTGTTTTTTTTAAATAAATAAATTGGGCGTATATAACAATGAAATTTATTATGATTTATAAATTCTTGAATTTTCTAGAAAAAAAAATTATTCTCAAAATAAATAGATCAGGATAACAATAAAAATTATTATGATCCATAATTTTATTTAAAAAAATTTTTATTTTTCTAGAAAAAAAATTTATTCTCAAATATTTTTTACACATTCATAATGGAAGAATTTTATTCAAACTATTCTCAAATTTTTAATATAAAAAATAAAAATTCTAAAATTTTTTCGAAGGAAAAATACAATAACGTAATTACAAATATAAAAAGTTATAATTCCAGAAATTTTAAATTAAATCAAAATAATATTTTAATTCATAAAAATGGAAAAATTGTATTAAACATTGACCATTTATATGACACAATCCACAAATGTCATCTATTCACAGGACATGGGAGAAGAGATATTCTTCACGAAACATTAAGGACACGCTATTACAATATAACAAGGGAAATTATTGAAATTTACTTAAAAACATGTAAGGAATGCCAGTTAAAGAAAGGCAAAAGAAATATTGGATTAGTTACCAATCCTATTATTTCAATAGATCATAATTCCCGATGTCAAGTAAAATACAATTGAAATTGATTTTTCTTATTTGTTAGTGTTATTAAACGTTTCATTTTGAGCCTTTTTTAAAAAACGGCTAACTCAATATTTTAGCCTGGATTTTGCTAATAAATGTCTAAACCGTTGTGCCATCTAAGAGCAAAATCTTTAGGCTTGTTTAATATTTTTGTCGATAAAGAGTTAGCCGAATTTAAAAATCGGCTCAATCGAGTCGTTTAATAACACTATTTTTTGCTTTTCTTTTAAAGTGCAACTTTGTTTATTTTTTTGAGTTTTTGTCACTACCTATACCATAATAATACTATCCAATTCTAAAATTTCGAATGATCATAATGCTGGATGTCAAGTTAGATTTAAATTTATTATATGACGATACATTTTTTTTATATTTTATGCAATCACACCCTGATCGTGAAAATAAATATATTTTAGTATACCAAGATCTTTTCACAAAGTTTGTGATTTTGAGGCCGATTAAAAACAAAACGGCTACCAATTTGGCAAAACATTTGATTTCTATATTTAATATATTTGGAGCTCCCAAAATACTCTACACAGATAATGGGCGTGAATTAAAAAACGAAGTTAAATTTAAATTAAAATATTTTATGATTACTATTAGTGTTGTTAAAAAGTCGAGTTCACCCAACTCCGAATCAGAATCTCTAGTCGTTTGTCGACTAACACAAGTCGTGAAATCGGGTCGTGAACTCAAGTCGACTAGAGGACAAATATTTTTTTAAACTTGAGTCGTCGACTAGAGGACGAATATTTCAAATTTATTATTAGTAAAAATAGATTTGTTCTGTTTTTTAAATTTTTTTATTTTAGACTTCCAACTTGAGATGTAAATAGGAATTATATACTTGAGTCGAATAGAGGACGAATAGTTCTATGAAGATGAACCTGAGTCGACTAGAGGACGAATATATCAAATTAGTTATTATTTATTAAGAAGTCGACTCAAGTATATAGACTTGAGATCACGACTCGAGTTCATAACTCAAGTCAGTTTGGGTCGATTTTTTCGACCCTAAACTTAGACTCAGTTTTCGACTAAGTCGACTCGACTCAGTCGATTAACAACACTAATTTACTATGGTATAATAATATTTTTCAGAGCATCCAAAAGCTCGTAGATATGTGGCCGGGATGCAAATGCACGGAAGACCAAAAGATTCCATATCTCATGGATTAGTCGAGCGTGCTAATAAAGATATTATGGTATTTATATTAAAACAAAATTAATTAATTTAGATATTTTTTAGAATAAATTACGCTGTTTTCTTCATGATAACAAAACAATGTGTTGGGCTAATGCATGGGAACGATCCAGTTCCAAAAAAATATATCTTATCATAGAGGAATCAAATCATCACCCCATGAGGTTATGTTTGGACATAAACCTAATATCTGGGATTCCTCTTTGACAAGTATAATTAAATTATATTTATGCAATTATAAATTTATTTAAACCAGAAAAATTGGAAGATACAGGAGATGATACTGGTATATTCTTTTATTATTATACAATGAATTCGTTATAATATACTATAGCTTATTTGGATGACGATAAAAGCTATTTCCATAATCTGGTAAATTATACAGATGCGGAAGATTCTGGTAATATATTTTTATTTAATTAAAATATAATATTTTGTAGATGAATTTGAAAACAATAGCAATTCTATCCGAGAAGATTGTATAACACCGGATCCTGGTATATATTTTTAAGATCCATTAGTTAACATATAATATTTTGTAGTTGATTTTGAAAACTATAGCAATTCTATCCGAGAAGATTATGTGTCACCGGATCCTAGTATATATTTTTAAGATGCATTAGTTAACATATAATATTTTACAGTTACTAGTTTACTTAATATATATTGCCCCTCTCCCCATATAGGTATATATTTTTTGTTTGATAGGATGCATTAATTAATATATAATATTTTACAGCGGAATTTCAAAAAAATCCTAACTCTGGCCAACAATCTAGCCCCTCTTTTGATCCTGGTATATATTTTTGTTTGATAAGATGCAATAATTAATATATAACATTTTACAGCGGAGTATGAAAATAATTCCAACTCTCTGCAAGAATACTACCCCTATCCCGATCTTGGTATAATTTTTGTTTGATATGATGCATTAATTAATATATAATATTTTACAGCGGAATTTGAAAATGATTCCAAATCATTTAAAGAAGGTTTATACAATGCTTCAGGTTTTCATAATACCTTATTTAGCAAAATAATTTGTCAAATTTATAGATAATTTGGCTGATGAAGAGATGAAACCCTATGAGGATCAACTAGGCCATTTTGCCAATTTATCCGGTTTATATATTCAATATTTTGCAAAATAATAAATCTTATTTTATAGAAAGCGCTCGTAAACACATTGTATATTCGAATGAATTGGATAATGACGGTATTTAGAAAAATATATAAAATTTCATGAAAATTATCCTTTAGGTTATCCAATCGGTTCAATCTTTAAATACAATTTCCGCCAATCAAGTTATTATACTTTCTATATTGATTAATTATAACTTATATAAAAAATGTAAATACTACATCCAGGGCGATTATTATAAAAACATTTTTTTTAAATATTTTTACGATAAAATGTTTATAATATTTTAATTTTATAGGTGCCATGATGAAGAAGATAAAGCATCAACGTCGGCAAACATATCTGTGGTATGCAAATGCAAACAAAATTGCAGGACAAATAGATGTAAATGCAAGGCATCTAATGTGTCCTGCAATTCACATTGTCATACAAAAAATAATTTATGTCAAAATAAATGATTCATTTATATTTATATAGAATTATATAGTAATAAAAAATGTGTATTGTAAATATTGTTTTTTCTATTATGAAGATATAGTCTTATAGGGAAGGCTTGCTACCAGATATCCATTAATAATATGGCGTAAAAATGTATTTTAACATAATATTAAGTTGCGTATAAAGTTGGGGGGAGGGGGGAAGTAAAAAATTCCCACCCATTTTACCAAATATGTCTGATTTGGTAAATATTATTTAAAAATAATTAAGAATATACCACAATGTCACAAAAATATTAAAAATAACGACCTTATAAAATTTGTGAGAAATTTTTTTTTAAAAAAAGAGTATAAACCTAAGAAAATTTAAAACAATAACTGGCCAAAGGCCTTCAAACAGAGAGCCTAGCATTTATCAATAAAATATAGTATAAAAAAAGTTACTCAAAGGCCTTTATTTCTCGAAAAAATCTTAGATGAACTTATAATGTTTGACGCATAATCTTAGTAATAAATATAAGGGCTAATAGTATTTAATGTACGCTATATTGCAACATAGTCAATTGCTAAAATTTATTTCGTTTATAAATATATTCATGAAAATGTATTTAGTGATAGATATACATCTCAATAGCTCTAACTTGTAATTTTAGATAGTTCATAAAATGAATAAATATTTAAAATATATTTACTCACAGAATTGAAATAAATAAGTCAAAGATATTATAGTTAGTTGATATACAAATAACCGATGCAGGATTCTATATTTAAATATTTCGCAGTTAATATTTTAGAAAAAAATAGATTAATCCTAAAAATATTTTATTTATACATCGGTCTACTATTATAAATTATGTTAAAAAACATTTCCGGCTGCTATGAAGATTAAGGTGTAATCGTAATAGTAAAATTTTTTATCATTTGAGGTCATTAATGTATTCATGCTGAAATCTCGAGATTAATCAAATCAAGGCATTGACGATTTACAGGAAAATAATTCATCTTTAATTTTCAATATATAAATAATAGCGAATTTAGGAATTTTAATGTTAATATTCCTGTTAGTGTCTATATAATATAAAACATATCTAAACTGAAATTTTAATTTAACACGTTTACTAAACATATTTTACCTATTTACTTTAAAAAAACTAAAAAATGTTCAAAAATATCGATTATGACAATTGTCACTTTTCCATAGTACATCTACACTGAAATATTAATTTAACACGTTTACTAAACATATTTTTACCTATTTACTTAAAAAAACTAAAAAATGTTCAAAAATAACGATTATGACAATTGTCACTTTTCCATAGTACATCTTCACTGAAATATTAATTTAACACGTTTACTAAACATATTTTTACCTATTTACTTAAAAAAAACTAAAAAATGTTCAAAAATAACGATTATGACAATTGACACTTTTCCATAGTACATCTTCACTGAAATATTAATTTAACACGTTTACTAAACATATTTTTACCTATTTACTTAAAAAAAACTAAAAAATGTTCAAAAATAACGATTATGACAATTGTCACTTTTCCATAGTACATCTTCATTGAAATATTAATTTAACATGTTTACAAAACATAATTTTAACTATTTACTTTAAAAAAATTAAAAAATAACTATTATGACAATTGTCACTTTTCAATAATACATCTGCACTGAAAATTACTTTAAAAAACTTAAAAAAGTTCAAAAATTACGATTATACCTTTTGTCACTTTTACCTATAAAATTAGGAATCAAAATATATAAAATAGAAAAAATTACGTTAAAAATAAATTATATAAAAATCATTTTAAAAAAATATCAATCAAAAAATATATTTAAAAAAATTATGACAAATTAAAATATATTATCTCTAAAAAAAAATATCAATCAAAAAATATATTTAAATAAATAATAATAACACAAATAAAAAAAAATTTAGCTATCAAAAAATATATCAAGAAAAAATTTACGTGAAAAATAAATACATAAAAATCATTATATTAAAAAAATATATCAATCAAAAAATATATTTCATAAAATAATATAACAAATTAAAATAATATAACAAATTAAAATATAATCTAAAAAATATTTAAAAAAAATATCAATCAAAAAATATATAAAAAAATAATATAACAAATTAAAATATATTATCTAAAAATTATTAAAAAATTTAAAAAAATTTAGCTATCAAAAAATATGGTTCCACGTCTTTATAGAGAAACCATTATAGAGAATGTATTTTATAGAGAAACATTTATAGAGAAAACAATTATAGAGAATGCATTTATAGAGAATTGTTTTATATAGAATGTAATTTATAGAGAATGATTTTAAAGAGAATTATTTTATAGAGAATGTCCTTTATAGAGAATGACTTCAAAGAGAATGATTTTATAGAGAATGCCGTTTATAGAGAATGGTTTTATAGAGAATGTCGATTATAGAGAATGATTTTAAAGAGAATTATTTTATAGAGAAGGTCCTTAATAGAGAATGACTTCAAAGAGAATGATTTTATAGAGAATGTTGTTTATAGAGAATGATTTTAAAGAGAATTACTTTTATAGAGAATTATTTTGTAGAGAATTACATTGTAGAGAATCATTTTGTAGAGAATTACAATGTAGAGAATTATTTTATGGAAAATTATTTTCTAGATCTTGATTTTATAGAGAAATATTATATATGGGACAATTGTAGAGTTCAAAAAATTTATGCGGGATTTGAAAAATATATCAAAATTAACATTTTAATAATACAATTCAGTTTATTTGTTCTATTTTTTAGATGACTTTATTTGTTTCAACAATGGTTTTTTTGTAAAATCTTTTTAGTTCATATCAAGGTTTAGCTTGATTATTAACTCAGCTAAACCAAACCTTAAACGATTTGTTAAATATGTATTAAATTAAAGAGAATCTAAACTGAACCAACCATTTTTAAAATTTTTATATATTGCGTTTATATGTCAGCTACCTAAATTAGCCTATAGAAGGGTTCTTAACTTTACCCTTATGAATATAATATGACGGACGAGAATCTTGATTTTAATTTTAATTAAGAAAAGGTTTTAACCAGTTGTTTGGGTAAAAAATATGTCACATTCCCGTTCGTTCTGCGTTTCGGAACTTCTAAATATAATTTTCTTTCTATTTTATTATACAAATTTTATTCATAAATCTTTTTAATATAGATAACTAAGAATTCATTAATCTCTAATGATACACATTTAGATGTATGCGATGGCTTTAATATATTGAGTGTCGAAAAGTGCCGATCTCTATTTGGGTTTCCACATATTTATAGAGAAACCAATATTTTTGATTTATAAGCACCATAATTTTGTCCTTCCTAAAAAACCAAAACCGTAAATTGAAGGTTTCTATATAAAATATTATAGCGAATGCATTACCGCAAATGCATTATCGCGAATGTATTATAGCGAACGCATTATCATGCATTATAGCGAGTATAATACAGCGAAAATATTATAGCGAATGCATTATCGCAAATGTATTATCGCGAATTCATTATCGCGAATGCATTATCTCAAATGAATTACATCAGTTGCTATATCGCGAATGGAGTTTGATGAAAACTACAATTTTATATTTATCGGCCTTTAGACAGACTTAGTTGAACCTGAAAATTAAGTTAAAGTTGGGCTTGGGTCTAAAAATTTTTTTTTTTAAATAGGGTTAAGGCTTTTGATTTTTTTGACTCAAAAAATATAAAAAAGATTCTAAGCAATAAAATAGATTTCTCTAAAGATTAGGGTAAAGGAATTAAATTTTTATATTAATTGATTGTTTAATATGCGTTTAGGTATATTTTTCAATTAAATTTGGGACAGGACAAGCTCAGGCCTAAAATTTAAAATTATGGTTAGGCTCCTAAAAATAAAGATTTTGGATGGAGCTTTGGCCGAAATAAAAAAAATTTGCAAGGCACTAAGAAAAAAAGTTTTATTTAAAACATTGAGCCAAAAAGATAATTAGACCTCGGATTTATATTATTCTTTGACAAAGCATGCTTTAATTAGTGAGGGATTTAGTATGGACTTGATAAACAGTTTTTGATAATAAATTTATATAAAGTTCTCTTATTGTTTAATCAAAAAGACAAGGTCAAAGCTTATCACAATAAGACATGAAACAATATTCAGCATCATAGGTATATTGTCGAATTGAATTACTATCCATCTCAGTACTTAATTCGTGTAATCTCTGATGATGAAATTGCCACTATTGTGACTTAGGAATTGGGAAAAAAATAGATTATTGATTTCCTTAATTGATTCTTGCTAAGTTCTTGCTTCCTGACGAGTCTTTTTTCCAATTATGTGATCAAAGACAAAATTATATAAAAATAGATATAGAAATATAATAAATATAAATGGAGCTAAAATTGAATGAATTGAACATGCCTCATATATTATTAAAAATAACTTAGCTATTTTTGACACAAATTATAGTATATTTCCATTTCAGTTCAGTTGCTATATTATATTTTATTAATCTGATGAATGTCATAAATTTTATTAGAATGGCGATAATAGTGATTGGACGTTACTATCATCGCTGAAGATGAGAAAATTTAATGGAATGAAATTTACTTTGTGAGTTGTACTTCAAGGA